GTAAAACCAAAATACTGGTATGCAAGGGAAGAAAAAGTAGGGAAAGAGTGAATATAAAGATAGGAGACGAAAAATTAGCAGAAGTGGCTAATTTTAGATACCTAGGAAGTCAGATAAGTGAGGATGGAAGGAGTAGTAGGGATATAAAGCAGAGGATAGCGCAGGGTCGTGTCGCCTTTAATAAAAAGAAGTCACTTCTATGCTCGCGAACGGTTAATTTAGAAATTNTGAAAATTGTCAAAATAATCAACTTTCAGCCCCATAATTTTTTATGGGGGTGAGACCGCCGCAAATTTTTTATGAGGTTTTACTCAGGTGACCACCCTCTTTCAACCCCCCCCCTACCCTCTTTCGATCCCTCCTACCCCCACTCCCATCTAAGTCCCATAACTTTTTATGGGTGTGAGACCGACACGAACTTTTTATGGTACAATGGTGGAGGAGACCTCCTCTTTCGATCCCACCCACCCCCCTTCGAGGGTGGGGGCCATCGTCTAGACATTTACCCATGCATTTTAATAACTATAATTCAAGCTCTATCATGGCCAACTTGTAGATGCGGTGGGAGACTGGTAAATAGTCCAATTAGATTTTTGAATGGAGAACTTTGGAATAGACCTCATTTTAGGCTTGGGATTTGGAGTCGTTTTGGAGAGAGATTTGCCCAGCTCTGCTACAACCCAAAAGGCTCAAACAGAAATACACAGTAGTACAGACGTTTCTGGCGTAGTTTTTATCGTTAGTTTCAAAAGCGCCTTAATAAATGTCCATGCATATCAGGATTTTAAATAATAATAACAACCTAAAACTCCCAATGATGGTGATTTGACTTATTGATGGTTTTCTGGATATATATCGAAAGTCTAATGTGCCGCGGCAGATCTCATTTTTTTTCGGCTCCACCATAATTGTGCCCTTAAAAGGATCAACAACAGGATTTATTGATTTAAAGCATAATANAGCAATGCAATTGTAGTGGATAAAATGCTTAATTTTTCAGTGCAGTACTGTACGGATTATACGCTCCTCACCGGTTAAGAGTTTGGCCGAGAGTTGTCTCCTTTCTTTTCTGGTCTAGTGCTATTCTTTTCTACTTTGCGCCAGTCAAACTGAAGGTCACGTCGATACAGAAACTAAACGAAGTATAGGAATCGCAGAAATGATTGAGTCGAGATAGTAACAACGAAACTATTTTTTTAATGCTAATGTTGGTTTAAAATTGCTCGTAAAAGAACTGAATGCAAATCTCACATTCGTTATACTTTATGTAATATAGAAATGTAACTGCCTTTCTTAAGGCATTCCTGCTGAATTTTCATTTACGGTAATAGTTAAAACCTTTTTATTGACAACGGTGAAAAAAAGACTTTTAAGTGAATTCAAATTTAAATACTCTTGCTTTTAAAAAGGATAATTTAACACGTACATCCATTTTAGTAATAAATTATCATAGGTAAGTTAGAGGAATTTTTAGATAATTTGAAAAGTTAACTTTTTAACGTTGGTTGAACAGATTTCAATGATAGATAACAAGAGAAGGTTTTCAGGAATGAAGCTACTTTGTTTATTGCTTATGACAATTGTATTTATTAAACAATTACTATAATTAACGTTGCTGAAAAATAAATCAGGCAGCCGAAGTGGTGATTAAAACTAGGGATTCAGCACAAGACCAATATGCCAATACTGGTTCCACACAAACGAAATGAGAATAAATATGACCCATACATAAAGTCTGTAATAATTTAAAAATGATTACATTTTTCCATATTACTTACCTTTGTATCGTATTTTGTTGAATTTGCTAGTAATTTGACGAAATTCGTCGCTTGGAGCATCACCTATCTGCGAAAAAAACATTATAAAGGAAACAAAAATTTCAATCATTTTCTTCAATTCTTACAGTTAAAATTATGTTTCCATTAAAAAAAAGCACACGTGGCAAAAACTTCTTCAGTAGGTATAAATAATAAACAGAACATTTATTCTTCATTTCAAGGAAATTTTATTGAGAAAAAGTTAAGTAAAAAAGTAAGAATTACAATGTATAAGTATTTACATTCCATCNAATTGCGAGTCTTGTTTTGCATAATTTGAAAGCATCCCAAAGTAGCTGTTTGACAATATCCTCTCCTTATCATGAAGTATGCGCGACCATCAACTGCAAAGCACCTTTTTACTTGGCTTCAAATGGACTAAAAGAATTCTTTTCTGCTATAGAATAATTGAGAAGCTGCTTTTCGTCATCAAAGCGATTCAAATAATAAAGAAGTCACTTTGAATTCAGTTTTAGCATACAAAATACAATTTGTACGAGCTAAACCAAGCATTGAAAGCAGAAATAAAAGGGACGACTTCTCGGTTTATATCGTAAATTGAAAGACTTAATTAATTAAGCTATTCGAGAAATATCTGAATAATTTGAATTGTTCAAAATTTCGAATATTTCTTTAGATCCTAAATTAATCAGCAGTGCATATCTACATACATATAATGATTTTGATAAAAAACAAAAATTCTCGAAACAAAAAACCTTTTTTAATCTAAGAAAATATGACATTCGCTTACACCAGAATTTTAGCATGGTTTAGCTACTATGACTCGTAAAATTTCAGATGTTAAACAATATCGATGGAAGCAAGTTAGAGTATATCGCGATCTACTGCAAAATTTAGTGATTCAAATGTTTAACAAGGGACTTGCGAAGGTAAAAAAACCTACCTTGTTAAACTGAATCAATATACCAGGTCTGTTCAAAAGGTATCACGATGACCCAAATTGGCTCTGGAGGGTCATAACTACTGACGAATCATGGGTTTATGGTTATGACGTGGAAACCAAAGCTCAATCATCCAAAGCCGCACGAACCAAGACCGAAAAAAGTGCGCCGAGTTAGGTCTATTGTAAAGGTTTTGATTGCAGTTTTCTTCGATTGCAGGGGCGTGGTGCATCATGAGTTTTTGTCACAGGGTAGAACGGCCAATAAGAAATATTATCTGCAAGTTATGCGCAATTTGCCCGAAGCAATCCGCCAGAAAGACATCGTTACTTCTGCGCGAATTTTTGGTCAAAACAACACACAAATAATGCCGCAGCCACCGTATTCCCCAGATCAGGCCCCATGTGACTTTTTATTGTTTCTAAAACTGAAGAGGCCCGTAAAAGGTCGACACTACGCTACGATTGAGGAGATAAAGACGTCATCGAAGGAGAAGCTGAACAAGATCACACAAAATTTTTTTTTGAAGTGCATGGACCACTAGAAAAGTGTACAATATTTGGTGGGGATTACTTTGAAGGGGCCAAATAGATATTCATGAATAAATAAATAATGAAGAGTGAAGAGCACGCAAACCAATTTAATAAATAACATTAAGTTCTTGGTCAACAAATTATCAAAACTCTCTGAATACCAGACGTGAATTTATTATCGGTAATGAGAACCATTAGTCAGTTTGAAATCGCGATCTTCGGCTAGTAGTTTCTATAAATTGCCGGTCAGAACATAGAATTTGTTAATAAAGGCGATGTTGCGCAGTGGTAAATACTGAAATACTTTTACTCTTCACATTTATTCGATTTGCTCTTTTTCAGGGGTATATATTTTGATGAAGAGATGCTACAGAAGTAAAATTAATTGTAAGTTCTGAAGTTCATATAGTATTAGTCGTATTTTTGCTCTCTTAATGCCAGTTTCCGAAAAATTTAGCGGCAATAGAAACAACAGAAATGAGAATGAGCTCGTAGATCTGGTGGTTTTTAAACATTCATAATAATATTTAGGATCATCGACTACTTACAGACACACGATTAAGACGAACACATACCTACCCATTTTAAAGCTTAACGAATCTCCCTGTATAAGTGTATCTAATTCCAATGCAAATTAGGATGCATTTTCTTGTCATGATGCGAAAAGACCCTTTAAAAGCTGTTCGTGTCGTGGCACTAGTGTCTTTGGCGACTCGTGAATTTTAAACTTCTTACCGCCTTAATGACTCTTGCAGTCCATAAATCACGCGACCGAGGCCATGTCCTGAGACTGTGCAACGCGTCGCGACGCGAAGGGATGCGAAGCGACCGTGCAAACACTGGTCTCGGAGGCAGGATGCGGGCCGCTTGTCGAAAGCTTTTTACCACATTATGGCTTAAACTTAGCAAATTGTTAAACAAGTAGAGCTGGAAACGTTCCCGCGAGAGCGGTCTTGGCCTTCTTAGATGATACGATGCCGAAGTAATACGGGATGTTGAAATACAATTTTATAAAGCTCCGGGATGGGATTACTCAAACCAGAACGGCACTATATCATGTTTATAGTCGCTAAAGCCGCCGAGACGTTGCATACATTCCACTTCAAAAGAATTGGCAACGAGGTATACGCCGTAAACAAGATGCTAACTTTCAACAAGATTCTTAAAAAAGGGCAAATGGCAAGTTGATTTGAATTTAATTTATCTAAAATCGTCAATTCATAATTTTCCTTCATTATTATTACAATTTTTGATCTTTTCTCGTATAAAGTTTGGATAATCGACCATAATTAATAACAATTACCAATTGGCTCAGTAGTAGTAGGCTAGAGCGAACTCAGGGGGCAGCAAAAGGGGGCGAACCACCCTCCCCCAAGACTTGAATCCAGAGAAGTGCTCTAGAATATAACATTCAAAATCCGAAGAAATCCAACAATCTGGTAACCAGACACATTTAACAAGAAATTTTAATTTTTTTACCCCCCCCCCTGAACAAGGCCCTATATTGGGCCCTGCTCGTAGTTACTCATCTTTAAAACTGAAATCAAAATTTATGACGTGTGGTGAACCTTTTCTTTTGTTATTCACAGAACAAAACCCATGTGAGATATTTCATGACATACCTTGTTTAATTTAAGAAATTTTCATTCTTTTATTTTTCAAATACATGAATATTACAGTATGTAAATTGTTTTCCATTAAACATTACACATATTATATTTAACAAAACCATAAATTGATTTTGTATTTGTGTCTATAAAAAAATGTTTGCCATAATGAGGTCAAATTGAATTCATGGAATTTGCCGATTGACTATCATCCAAATTCCATTCGTTTGCTGAAATTAAGTTTCAACAAATACTTAGTCAACTGGTGAAAAAATATGATTTTCTGCTAAGTACATTTATTTTAGGAAACTACAGTAAATGTCTGTTTTACCACTCACCTTTGTAATGGATGTCATAACTGATTGATAAACATCTGTTGACCTGAAACAGAAAAAGTAGCTAACTCAGCAAGTGATGAAAACAATATGCTCTTCTGTCCAATTTTCGATAGAATGAAATCAGTTTAGCTTTGTTCCAAAATTAATAATTACCTTTGATTTATCTAATTCGATGTTAGTCCTTACTGTCCTAAAATAAAGCGGCTGCACTGGTCTAACGTTATTCGCTAATGGTGCTTTTGGAGCATCCTGTGATCCTTGCATTATGTTTCGTAGCAAGTACAACTGTAACAAAGTTTTCAAGTCACTTCACTTAGTTATTGGTCATTAAAATGTGATGAAATTATATAACTTACCTCTTGCTTGGTTGCATATATAGGTTTATTAATAATAATCCATGTTACGGTTTCCCAACATCCCGGGTACGTCATAGATCCTTCGTAAGTCATATACTGATCAGTATCGGGTAAAAGCGACTTGATAGACAAGCTGCCTATTACTGCATAGGTTCCTGCATAATAAACAATATACGGTAGAGTACAGTAAGTTCAATTAAAATGAGCAGATACATATTGAGATATGAAAAATTCAGTTCAATTCACTCTCTGGTTGCTTCGAATTAAAACACTCAAATCCAAGCTAGTGTTTTATTGTACGTAAGCACATACATTTGTACTAAAAAGGTTTATGCCTTGGAACATATTTAATATTGAAGGAGAGGTAGCATACACACATATTATTGGAGGTAATAATTATCACCATTATTTCGAAAGTCGTAAGATTTAGTGGACATAAATATTCTGCAATTCTGGATAATTGTGCGGTAAGTAATTGTAAAAGTCGAGAAGACAAGAATTTAGACTTATTGTGCTTTCATAATTTTCCAAATCCAAATGGTCCAATTGTTGCAGTCTCTCCAAGTTAGGATTAACTATACGTAAGAAGAAAATAAAGTTATTTCCATGGTTATAGGTATACTATTCATTACAGTGGAATTGCTCTTGAAGCTTGACGTTTAATGCCTGTATAAATATAGAACGTTATCGACCATATTACTTCTCTCCACTTTTCCCACATTTAATTTATGTCCAACTTTCAAAAATCTGCCCCCTTCTATACAACATTCCCACCGCTGCAGTCATGAATAGTGCACAGATTCAGCGACACAAATTATTTCTCAATCTTTATAAACCTTCGATGTTGGTAGCCATATTGGAATGTTATGACTTAAGACAAATCTGCGTACTTATTTCCAATACTGAACAATAGCTTACCCGAATAATATTGTTTCATACAAAAAGTTCCTTAAGCTGCAATCACTTAATCTGCTATTTATGTAAATAGCAACGAGCATGCTTTCGATGTGTCTATTCACCGGTATCGTACCGGTGACTAAAGAGCTATTTACTGTACTGTACCGGGGACAAAAAAGCTGTTCACCAGTTCTCTACCTTGCTAGAAAGAATGCCTTATCAGTGCTATAAATTATAATGGCCTTGAATTAGAATATATTCGTGCTAACATCGTTTCTAACAAAATAATAATTTTGCTGAAACTGCTAAAAGTAAGTGATGAAAGAACTTCTCCAGGAAAAAAAAACACTTTTGGTTGTTTCATTCCATCAGCTTCTGGTTGGCGGGCAGTCCCTTCGGAATACGCCGGAAGGTAGGGCGGTAGGCCCTCTTCATCCTCCCTTCAGGAATTGTGGGAATGAATGGGTGGTGGTTCGGATGACAAAGATGAGAGGGACGAAATGAAGACAGAAAAGAATGAAATATTATAGGTGGAATATTACTGCCTCAGCATTTGCTTAAGTGATCCAAGAAAACCACAGAAAAACTTGGACCAAGGCAGACGAACTCGGAATCAAACCGGCGTCATCCCAATGGACTAAATCTCTAGGCCATACCACTCGGTGAACTTCAGAGTGACCATGAAACCTCAACAATTAACCCTGAAGTGAAATGGCTCCCACATATTATAAGCAAAACAAATGTTCCCCTAATCGCAATACCATGCAAAAGTTACTGATATCAGAACTTACAATTTTGATTATCAACTTTGTTCATTCAATAAAACCATTGCCAATAGAGAAACGTCAATTAACAAAAAAAGGCTAAACATAAAAATACAATATTTCATAAAACATTTGGGTACCGGTAAATACCTTCTTAGCCCCCGGTACGGTACCGGTGAATAGCTTCATCCATTTCTTGTAACAGATGCGTCTGAATGGTTTAGAAAGAATAAAGCCAGGTAGGTTCAGTCACGACAGTACACCAACTAATTTTTGACCTTGGCACCAAATGAGCCCCGAGCAAGCCTTCAACATTTTCGAAATTCATTTTGACCACTTCCTTGAGTCAACCTCACGTTTAGTTACAAAATAGACGTAACGAGTATGGGCAGAATTTAGATACAGTATTATTGACCAAAAAATAATGTTTTAAAATGAAAGTACCACTGACCCGAAATGTCTTCTTAACACTCATATTTTGAGTGTTTTTGACCCGCATCCAAAAAAACATTGCCCACGCCTACCGTGGAGTGACGATAACTAACACTCTTGTGTTTATTTATAGTTTTCAGATGGTTTACTCGTTGCATTATTTTCTTCTCGGCGAAAACAAAATAAACTTTCCTGTATTTTATCGTATCGTTCTTCAAGAAGAATTTTCCATGAGCTCCTTATTTATTCGATTTTGTTTTCCTTCAGTGCCGTGCTGTTTTATTGAATCTCCATCCGACAAAGGCGTTCCTTTGAACTCGGGGGTACCAACGTACATAGGAAGTAAAGGGCTATTGTTAGTTTTATCGAAGTTTATTGCGGAACCGATACTGTTGCTTTGTTTCGACTATCTCGTCCTTAGAAGCTTTTAAAATGCATGTACATATAGTCAGAAACTGCTACACAACAACACGACTTTAAACTGTTGTCAATATACTCTACTGAAAAACTGCTACTTAATAGTAGCATTAACTGCATGGAAAGATATGAAAAAAGCCTTCATTTGTTTCATTTCCACTAGCTACTCAGGTCAGGTCAGGCCAGTCGGCAATTCCCTAGACCTACACTTCAATCTAGTACAAAGCCGGATGATAGGGTGGATAACCCCCATAAACCTCCTTTTATAATACGTTTACTTTCTCTAGTGATGCGCCCCTTCCAATCTCTTGGATGCGCGCTGGCAAAATCGTAGGTAAGGTGAAAAAAGCTCATTATGCTCTCGACCCTTGTTCATTAAACATACTTTTTCATACAGTACCTGCCAAAAGTTTTGTTCAATCATGAATAGTAGTGCGAGTCGAAAACAAGCGTTAAAGCCTTTAATATGTCTTCAAATATAAATAAACATCTCGTTGATATTTTCAGTA